CACCCAGATAGAGTCATAGATCTAGAAGTGTGTGCTTTGTAAGGTGTTAAATTGGTGCTAAATTCGCTAAACGTTCTCGATGACAGATTGTCTAGGGCAAAATGGAACGTGTTGGACATTAATTAGTCTAACTATCTACTAGTCACTAACTAGATTGCCATTGGCGTAGGCATAATTCACGTATTATCAATTGAGGATTACGCCTTGGAGGTTTAGTTTTCGCTTATAAAGGAGACAGTTAGGATTTCTTATTTAATTTGAGAATTGAATTTACACACATATGCATGGGGCTTCTTCAATAACATTGGAGACCTTGGCTTATCAAAGCGCCCGACTTTCGCTTTCCTCAGGTCGAGTTGGCTGGAGTCGGAAACTGAGGGGTTCATCATGGCTTGCCAGGATGGTGTCTTCAACACCTTAGTCTACCGCAGTCGCGTGATGGGTATAGAGGTTCCTGACACAAGGTGCACTTGCTATCAGCATGTCCAGCATATGCGGTATCGGCCTATATCCATCGACATAACGCGGCCCTAAGAGTGCTATATTACCTTCTACGGCACTCTTACGGTATTGACGAAACACCGGTGTTGCCCTACGCTCCGGGGGATATTGAATCCGTTGTGGGGAACGAGAAGTGCCGAATTAATTGGAACTACTCGTTCCCCATCCTCAGGCTCATATAAGCTAATAAACCTGATGTAGTCCTTCTCGACTACCAGGGTAAGACGATATTTGTCAAGATGGTTGTTTTGATTATTGGAGCCCCTGGTGGAATGATGCTCACTCTACTCTCGAATCTTAAAATCATACCGGCTTGCCGCACTAAGGCAGAAGTCTTAGCCGGACAGATGCAGAAGGTTGTCATTCTTGGCTCACTGCGCTTGTTCAAGGCACATGATTCTCGGACCCAATGATCACTTTCCACACGGCGAGGGGAATGGTCGTTGGTTAATATTGCTGGCGCGCCCTACCGAATATATCAGGGCTTCGAGGAATAGGGCCTGACCAGCGCCTAGTACGGTAAAATAATAAAATATATCTCCTTATGATATTGCACCCCAAATCGTCAGTTCCACACAAATACCCATCCAAAAACAGAAAAGCCGTGGACTCTTGAGTTTAGAATGCCTACAGAACAAAGTCACCAGAGAGTAGGGACGGTGTATTCAAATCTCCCTCCGGTGGCGGCTGTATGCCTACAGGGCTAACCCCATGGTACACCAAAAATAGAGGAAGAGGCAACCAGAACCGATCTGTTCTGGTGGGTCTGTAATGTGGTGAGACCCAAACTTATGATTCATCTATCGTTGAAAAAAATTCATGCAAACCTTTTTCATATTTACAACAATGAAGTGATTCTTTCTTTTCTAGTCCGGGAATTACTCATTTCCTGGAAATCGGACGCTTTGCGAGGACTCACGATGCGAGAGTAGTGAGCAGGACTGATAAGTACAAGGCGAAAATGCGTGATATGTGGTGTGAAATACACCCCGAGGCATGCTGGCTGTTCTTAAAAAAATCTTAAGGGATATGTACACTATTTTCGGCGACAGAACTATATAGCTCCTCCCCTGCCTGCTGAAGAAATTGCATAAATTCAGATTTCCTCACAGAAGAGACTGACATCAAGCAGATTACCATTTCCGTTTTTATCGACGATTGAACGGCGGTTACACAAGTTGAAAGCTAAGATCAGTTAGAATCGACAGCGTACCTCTCGAATGTGATGTGTAATGAACCACTGAGCGAACAATAGACTTTTCACGCCCGATGTTTCGTGTCCATCTCACTTTGACTCAAGCTGTGTTGCTGACCACCAAGCAACACTGCTTTGATGGAATGCGAATGCTTGTGGCTGTCACTAGTGAGTTGATACAACTCCCTGTGAATGAAAAAAGCCTCGGTAGATAATAACATTATTCTGAGGTGGATTAAAGGGCACGACAGGAGTAAAGGTAATCGCATTGCCGACTCTTTAGCCAAGTAAGCTGCTGGACTCAGTGGCACCTACGGACTGATGACTTCAACAATTGCGGAACTAGCCAAATGTTACACACATGCTCAATCCTTATAGAGATGGGATGAAATCAAAGGATGCTGTCTTGCCAGAATCACCTTGGGCTACCCTGGGAAGCTGGCGCCGAAGAAATATCTGGCGATGACCAGGAAAAATCTACGCTTAACAGTAGGATTTCTGACTGACCACTGTCAACTAAGGAAACACATCCATAATATGGGGATAGTGGACACACCTCTATGGAGGATGTGTGAACAGGGAGATGAGACTGTCAAGCATGTCCTATGCGAGTGCCCGGAGTTATCATCAATAAGAAAGTGTGTGTTGGGAGAGTCTTGACCTACACCTGCCTATATAAAGGAGATGTCTCCCAGTGACCTGTCAACCTTACTGGAAAGGACAGGATGGACGATGACCTAGGAGGACAACTTCTCGGGAGGATGTACAATGGGTCACATGTGGCCTAAGTGCTGTGGGCCTACACTTACCCTCCCTACTCTACAGATACAGAACTCCCTGTTTTACTATTGTGCTTATTTATCACCGTTAAATTTGCTGACGTTTGATTTTGTCTTCCAGAGGTAATTTGTTGGCGGTAAGTTTTTTACCTGTCAATTATTAATGCGGATGTTCCATTTTTAACCGACTCAATTATATACGCCGATGGAACAGCGACTTTTTTATAGTGTAATACTTCGCAGTCTGATAAAATTGATTATAGGGCACGGATCAATTACAGTAAGTCTTGAACAACTGATGCCACTGTGGATGATTCACCTAACCACAATATCTAGTCAGGCTGGAGTCCAAACATGTTTTTGAGTGGATGACGTTACATTATGCCTTAGAATTGCCAACCTTTTAGGAGTGATAGAGGCATGCTGGCATGCTATCGCTATGGAATTCGTTTTAGGCAAATGTATATCGATCCATCTTAAAAAATGTTGGTGCAGAAATGTCGGAAGGAATGTACGGCTCGTAGGCGAAAGCATTCTGCACTATCTCGATATTGGAGATATGTATACTTACTACTCACAAGCAGTAACCTAAGACTAGAAGTCTTTCCGTGTGGGAAGTACCAACACAGACCACTACCGGTCACTGCTACGCAAATGCTTGCCATTCCATCTTACTCGACTTGTTGGGAATAGTGAAGTGGACTCGGGAGGAACATATTTCCAAGGCAGCTACCCCAGCTACCAAATTACTTGCTTTTTGACATTGAACGAGTGGCTAGCTTCTTCAGAGGTTTATATATCCTGGATTAGGTAAAAAGATAAATAACATTCGTGCGTGTTTCGCCACAGCCGACTTGTCCGTTTGGCCTAGTCTGCAGTTTCTTTCTTTCATGCTCCATGGATCTTTTGGTGGTTCCGATGGATACCTTCCTACACGGTATGCGATACACCCCTGCTGCTGATAGTGAGACTTTGTTTTATTTTCTTGCTGGGTTTTAAAACCGGTTGAATGTTGTGTTTTTCCAATTCCCTATTGAACGAGGTGACCGAACTCTGTCAATACAAGGATAAGACACAGTACGAGCACTATGCGGCAGCATAGAAGACCTCGTTTATCAAAGCACCTGACCTGTGCGTTTTTGAGTTCTCATAGGCTTATAGAGTCGGTAACTGATTGATTTATCCTGGCCTGCCTGGATGGTTTTTCCAACATCTCAAACTACCGTAGACGCGTGATGGATTTGAAGGTTCCTACCCTTCCTTCAAAGTTTCAAACTATTGAAGTTTCTTAAATCAGGCGAATGACTCTTTTCCAGATAGAATCTATCAGCTGCTGAGTGGTGGAGATGTATATATTACAAAGAAAGTATCATTTGATTGTTATACAGTATTGAATATTGACGAGATGTTATGACCTTTCTGGTCCGAAATGTTGTTTCCATTTTCCGAGAATCTGCCATCTGGAGACATTTCTTTTACCAAAATCAGCGTGTTTTTCGTGTAATATAGCACATTATTTGCGCGTCGGGAAGAGTGTTTCAGTTCTGATGTGTATTAAGTGTATTTTTATTGGATTTACATTATCCGTTGCGCTAAAATATTCTTTGATGCACTGTAAATGTAGAGTGAATGTATAACTGTCGAAATTAGTATCATACCTCCAGAAAGCAGGGTTGAAAATGTTTACAATTGTAGAATTATGTTTTATAGTTAGTCTCATGTAGAGATTATCTATTGTTGAACTTGTTTGAAATTATTTTTCCAAATATATATCTTCTACGTCTTATAACTTAAACTTTCATGCCTTTTTTTTAAACGCTCTCATTAGCTTCACTTGTATGTTTGTTTAAAACCAACTCCTTTGGACTCGATTTTGACTAACTTCAAACGGATAAATTTGTTTTGAACTTTGTACGCTTATCAAGAATCGATGACAATATATACAATCATTTCATATTTCATATCTTCACACAGTCTCTGTGTGAGAGCAATTGAGACAAACCCACTGTCTGCGCATGCGNAAATATTTCGTTGTAAAAAACCGTGGGTTGCTAAATATTCATTGTTATAAATAAGCACTTGGTTAGAAGCTATTTGCCAGATTGGAGCCCTAATAAAAATATAATTTAAAGCATCCCACAACATTTTTTTGTAAATAGATTCATTCTGATTTCAGACTTATTAAAAGTCACCAGTTACATCAATCCATCAGACCTATTTATGGATGTTGAACACAATCTTAAATTAGTTTCGAATTATTTTTTATTTTTTAGTTTGTGTCGCTACTAAAGCGTATTTTTTTAGTTTCTTAAACTATTATTCATCAAGTTGAATTTGCGTCCATCAACAGTGTAGTCAAGATATATTATTAAATTTAGGAAATTCAACAATTATATTTTTACCCGAAACCAGAATAATCTGTACCTACTAACACCAGATGACTTCTACTAACAAGTAATTCATTTTTATAACCTCCGTTTAGTTATTTCTTCATTAATTCATTCATTTATTTATTAATCGAATAGGATTTCAACAAGCAGATGCCGAAAGATTCATCCAAGAAAAGGTTCAAGGTAACTATGTATTGTGGGAAATATGGGCTAAATTGAGGCATTTCACTTATTCTACAATCATCAAGAATACCTTATTTTTTGGTGGGTTTCGCCTCTGGGCGATCAGATTATCACACGTGATGATCTGATCCAAAAACTGATCGTTTTGGTTGCGCAAAAGCAACCAAAACGTGAAAATTTATGTCTATGGTTCAAATCGTGGGACACCAATACGATTTAAACCACATGGGAGTTTACTTCCACCGTTTGTGATGGGTCAGTCACCACCAGAGTCCCCAAATCCTTGCCTGGATTACAGTAGGCCGACCATTTCTGGGCTCATCTTCGAGGCCAAAATCTCCGGAACTGAATTTCGCAAACCAACACCGAACAATGCGTTCATCAACAATAACATCTGGGCTGAAAAGTCTCGGGCCTCTGGCAAAATTGACTTCATCCATCAACGTAATGTCCATCAAGAGCCGCACTATCATTCTAGCGAAGCTCTGACATTTCAATACCACTTTTGTAGAACGATTTATCTTTTGCCTCAAAATAAAACCCAGTTTTTGCAAGGTTTGCTGACAGTTAGTAGTCGCTGGGAGTCAAATCTGGCAAAAATGGTAAATGACGAAGCAATTCGAAGCCCATAACATGCAATTTTGCCAACATTTTCATTGATTTGTGACATTTTACATTGTCTTGATGAAGCAGCCTTTTTTTTCAAATGAGGTCGTTGATTGAATTTCCCTTCTCGAGATAGACTATGGATATTATACCACGTACATCCCAAAATACCGAGGCCATAACCTTTCATGTTTTCGGGCACTTTGGACGACGTTCACCAGTTGCTCTCCACTCTGATGACGATCGTTTTGATTCCGGAGTGAAATGATGGATCCTGGTTTCATCCATTGTCACACGCAAAAATTCTGAAATATGTGTAGATCTTGCAGAGAATCAAGTTTCAGACACAAACTGGAAGAAAAAGCTCTCCTGAAACAGCTACTTTCATATAAACTTACACGAAAAAAAAATTCCTTTAGTTGGATTTAGTTGTTTGGTTGGAATTTTGTGTTTTCTTATACTGTTATCCAGATTAGTACTGAAGAGCGAGCCTTAAGGCAAGTCTCTTACGATGAAACATCGATGTCTACCAGTGAGGATGACAGTGTTCCATGTAAGTGAAATTTTTACGCTTCATTTAGTATATTGTATAGGAATCCTGTGAATGATATCTGATTCAATGTCTAGTATTTAATCGGACTATTTTACCTCAAGCCGAAATATAATTTGCTTAACTATAACACCAAATTCACAAAATTTAATAGTTTTGTAGTTTCTACTCCATGAAGGCCATACTTTTATACAAATATTTATGTACTTCGTATTCTTTATAACTTCTTGCGAAACAAGAGCTCTGCTCTTATCGCCATACCAATTTGTTCACATATTTTGTTTTAATCGTACTCTAATCTGTATACGTTGTGAATAAAGTTATTATTATCATAACGAATGTTTGGAATACGAACTGAGTAGAGAAAAGTGTTTTTTGTATAATTCAGTGTTTACATAAAAGTATTTGTTTCTAAAGAATTTTTCTTTCGTGTAATTCAATGTTTATATGAAAGTAGTTGTTTCAGGAGAGCTTTTTTCCAGTTTGTGTTTGAAAGTTGCTTCTTTGCATGATCTACACATTTATGTGACGAGTTACTTCTTTCAAAATTAATTACTTCCTGGCTTTCTTTCAAAGAGTACCACAATTTTATGTATCAAGATGGAGTAGTAGATAGCCACAAAAATATAAATTTATGGATGAAAATTTCTTGTATAAATAATTTCCTGTATAAACCTTTGTAGTAATAAAATTTGAAAATCTGGAAATTCAGTAGCACTATGGCCTTTCTTTAAAATCGAATCAAATTTCCAAAGTTCCAATTATGTCTGGATTCTCCTCATGGAAGTTCATAGCAGATCATCAACTGAACGTTATTTTCTTTATTTACTTTGGGTTGGTTTCGTTAATGGGTAAGTAGTTTTTAGGGAAAACGTACTGCTCTCACCTCAATTAGTAGATCATCTTGAATTGAATCAATACTTCGCACAAGCTCACTATGGTTTCAGATCAAGTCTTTCCTACTGCCCATGCAATAAACAAGCTGGTGAAATATGTTCTATCATTTTTTTCAGTCTAACGATATCACTGATAGATCTAACCAAGGCATTTGAATGCGGTATCCCTGAAATTTTGATCAGAAAACTGGACTTATTTGATGAGGCACATGTCTCAAATGATTCTGTTAACGTCTGAAACTAAATGCTAAAACCGTAGATATTGCATTCACTCTCCGGAACATCACCATAAAAAAGAACCAGGACCCTGTCAAACTTCCAGGGGTATATTTGGATTCAAAAATATTATTTTTCCCTACGGTTGCGCCGGTCGGGTCCTAACCCCAGAAAGCCTCGATACATTCGGGAGGGCGCGCCAGCATTATCAATCAAATGACAACTCCCCACACCGTGGGGCAAGTGATCATTGGGTCCGAGAATTATGTGCCCTGAGTAAGCGCAGTGAGCCAATAATGTCTGTCTTCTGCATTTGTCGAGCTAGGATTTCTGCCTTAGTGCGGCAATCCGGCATGAGAGAGGGCATCCGAGAGAAGAAAGGGCATCATTTCAACAAAGACTCCAAAAGTCAAAACAACCATCGTGACAAAGTGGTCTGGATAGAGTCTGTGGAGTTCGAAGGGAAAATCTCTTTTCGGGTGATAATCGTCTCGCCAGTTGCTGAAAACTCCACGACAAATATCGTCTTGCTCTGATGGTCGAAGAGAACGACATCAGGCTTCTTAGCTTATATGAGCCTGCGGGCGACGAACAAACAGTACCTTGAAAGTACCTTAGGTGGTGATAAAGTGTTATATCGATGGGTATAAGCTGAGTCGACATATGCTGAACATCCTGACCTCTATACCCATCACGCGACTGCGGTGGACATTATAGACATCACCCTTGGCAGACCGATTTCGACCCACTCGACTTGAGGAAAGCAAAGATCAGGTGCTTTGATAGGTTGAGTTCTTCAATGTTGTCAAGGAATACCCCATGCATTGCGGCTTTTATGTGTGTCTTTTGCTGGGCGGATTCCAACTCGGTGACAGAGTCGTGACCACCACGAAAACTAAACCGAATTTACCGGCTGCTCGAGCAGCTGCCCTAAAGAGAAGTGCTCCAATTCCTGACCTCTCATGGTCGCAGACCATGCAGAGAAGGGGATCTGAACTCCTGATAACTTCACAGGCTCCATCTAGTACCATTCTGTCATGTAGACACTCCAATCTCAAAAGTCCACGGCCTCCCTTTTGTTGGGGGAAGTACAACCGTGGAACGAACGATTGGGGATGGAAACTACTATAGAGGTGCATCATTTTTCGTGTCTTTATGTCGAGTTGATGCAGTTTCTCCCAAGTCCACTTCACTACTACAAACGAGTAGAGTAAGATTGGAACGGCAAGCATATTTGTTGCAACTTATTTCTTTCCCGACAGTTCCGATGACCAGATCTGTCGGAGTTTGTGCTTGCCTCGAAGAGAGTTCTTTACTGCTGTTACCTCTTGTTCCACCCAGGAGGTAAGTATACGTCTCTCCGGCATCCAGATGATGTGGGATGCACATCCTCTCCGTAGTCCTCGCGTCTTCCTCTTTTGAGGACGACGCAGGAACTACGTATTATAAAACACTAAGGTTTCAATCTATCTTGGCGATTAAAAAGTACTTTCTTTGAAAATCTTCATAACTAGTGAAACTAGCGCCATCCAATTAATATTTACTACAACTAGTAAACATGGCTTGATCGAGACTATTTTTACAAGTTGCAGCATTCTGTAACCAACGAAACTCGAGGTTATTTATAGAATACTAGGTGTGACTTCCAATGGTTCCATGTATAATGAGTAACATAAATTTAATAGATTGGATTTATTTCTATAGTTAAACCATAACGCAACTTTTCATTCTCCTAATCACATTAATCACTGTATTTATAGTTCGAGGTTATGGATGAATAATTAGTGAGTTATTTGAATCTTGAATTCCGATAGCAACCACAAACACGATGTTATTCATAGGAATATCCTTTCCTCTTGCATACTTTAGAACGATAAAAATATCTACACGAGATAAAAACCAGATAATCGTGACAGTTTAACTTAAAAAATTCAACTGTTACCTGTGGATAACTCTAATTATAAATAGTTTTTGTTTCGCAAAAATATTCGATGAGTAATTCTTGATTTTATATCCTTACTGGTCTAAGTATCCCCACAGAAAGTCTTGTGGATTTAAATCAGGATAATAAGCCGACTTCCTCTAGGGAATAGTACACCATACACCAGTAATTGAATACTAAGTTAACAGTTGCTTCTTCTGATATGAAAGTTACTATATACATTTAAAACGAGCCACCTAAATAACTTTTGATACAATGATTTGCAGGAAAAATAAAAAACACGTCAACCATAGTACTTAGGGGAACACATTTTGACATATTCACATTTGATGTTACTTCCTCTATCGCACCCCCAGAGCATGTCACCAATTTTTTTTCAAATGGATCAATATTGTTTCGCATTCTCAGATGCTCCATGATGAGTAGATTTCAACAAAGTAAAAACATATGGTCTGAAGCTTATGGTTCGGGAGCTGCAAATTATTTGAGTTGAAAACGAGCCACCCTGAATAACTTTTGGGACAATAATTTTCAGGAAAAATAAAAAAACATCTCAACAATAGTATACAGGAGGACACATTTTGCTATATTCATATTTGATCTAATTTTCCCTATCGCACCCCCAGAGCATGTTACCATTTTTTTTAATAGATCAACTGTTTTGCTTTATCGTATGTTCCATAATGAACAGATTTCAACAAAGCAGAATACATTATGGTCTGAAGCTCATAGTTTGGAAGCTGAAAATTATTTGAGTTGAAAACCTGTATGAACTTCTGTACTATCTGTTACCT